ACTGTATTTTTTTAATTATTCTTTTCAGGGTTTTTTCAAACCTCTGAATGATCTTATCAAAACATATGGTAAAGTATGTGGGTAAGTAAAAATACATCCTACAACAACAACTACTGAAATAAGATTGTGAATATTTCGCTTCTATAAACGAGCTACAGTTTTTTGAGTTTATTGATTAATCTACAGAGTGAAATGAGATGATACTTTACACTTGGTTGGTCACTAAAGTATACGCTGCATATTTCAGGTATTATTTGGGCCGCACACCAGTGGTAGTGGTAGCAGACCCTGATATGCTCAGACAAGTGATGGTGAAGGACTTCAGCAGCTTCCCTAATAGAAATGTGAGAACATTATATAGAGCATGTAGATGCACGATGTGAGTTTATTTCTGATTCTCACACAAATAACTGAGTAGTTATTACACATTTTGTGCCTGTGCTCTTATTTCTCTGGGCAGAGATTTGCGTTGGTCAAAAAGCCTATATCCGATTGCTTGCTCCAGTTAAGGAATGAACAGTGGAAACGAGTACGGAGCGTCCTGACCCCATCTTTCAGTGCCGCCAAGATGAAAGAAGTGAGAAAATAAAGATTCCTCATATATCCAAGACAGATAAGATAAGATATGAACTAGAAGATTGTTAAGACCCCCTCTGCTAGGCGTCAGGGAAGGAGTAACATACACAAGCCCCCAACACAAAACTGAGTAAAGAAAAAGGTTTTAATTTCAAGCTTTGAACAGAAAACCGACAGGGCTGTTCAACAGACCACTGGGCAAACAATTATTACATAAAGAAAAAACAGTCAAGAGTAAAAGCTAAGGGTTTACTAAGGCAAGCCAGCATCACAAAACTCTAATGAAACGGAGTTCAGCTGGTTTAGCAAACAAATAGCAACACAGCAAACAGTTTCAACAAACAACGTTCAAGTGTGAGGCAACGAGGAGGACACTGCATGTCACTTCAGAGCGGCAGTTCCCCATAGTGTGAAGGCTCTTCAGCCTTTTATACTCCCAGGTGCAGACAATCAGCCAGCCAATTGGTCTTGGAGTGGGCCCCGGGCCCCGGGCCGTAACAAAGATCAACAAGATTCCTT